AGCTGGATCATTATTCTTGGGAATGGGTTTCCCAATGGCCATTTCCTACAAGTCTGGAAAAAATGAACGTTCAAAACAACAATTGATGATATGTGTAATATATTTATCATAATTTGAATAATTTTATTTGAAAAACTATTTTGGCATGAACTATGTGATAGCTAACGTCGCAGAATCGTGTTTTTGATGCTGTTTATGACGGCTGGACCAATTTCATGATTTTTGGTTTGATGGGTTTGTCCCTACCTAGAATAGCAGAATAATTATTGAAATATTTGAAAAATGAAGAAATAAAACAATAAACAAGTTGACGACGTTCGGTTTGTTGAATTATGACTGTTGTCGTGGTGCACGCGAAGACAATTGAGGTTATGGCATTTGTGATTGTGTACGTAGTAATAATTGTTATGTCATAATTGGAGCGGAGCAATTTCGACACAACTTCGGAACAACCCAGTATACACCCAAAAAACTCCAAAGTTTGCAAAACAACTATTTTGAAGGGATTCAATCGGATGAAAATATACAAATATTCTGTTTAGAAATACATCTTTGGTAAACTATATATTTTTCTAACACCCGGTATATAGACCGTTATTTTCGAAACGTAGTTTTCATTACTCTTCACAACTTTTATTCGACAATAAATGTAGCAAAAAGTTCTACATTTCATTAACTGCTTACGAAAAGCCAGTTTCAATATTTGTTTATGACCATTGAAACTTTATTATATATTTCCACTTTGAATATACTCCAAGTCAGAGAGATAAGTATTACGATGGACATACCTAATTGTATATAAAATCCGTAGAATTGATAAATTCACCATTTATCCATATCAAATAGATTTTTATTTTCAAAATTAAAAAAAAAACATGGAACAGCTTTATATATTCATTCCAATATTTATCCAAAAGAAATTAATCAATTCTGAAGTAGAACCCATGTATATTCACTAAGATACCTCCAAATATCCTATGGTTGTAAAAGGTCGCTGCAATAAAGATGAAGACGCTTGGGAGCATTGTGATCCAGATATTTTCCAAAATTCCAGTTAGAGTTTATAGTTCTCTATCATATACATGTAAAGCATCACTATCAGTAATCAGTGGACTAAAACCAGCAGTTTTTTGTCATCTGACGCTAACTTAGTCAGCGAAACGTGCTTTGGGAGTCAGCATTTTTGTTCTGGTGAGGAGAAAGAGTTTTCGATAGATTGACATTCATTGAACAAAAAAAAAATATTTTCATTGGTCCTCTATCTGGGTTTTATTAGGGTAGGTAAGGTCATAGTTGGTAAGGTGGGTTGAGGAAGTAATTGTTAGGCCATAAGCCAACAGTGTAGGTGAGTTGAGACTGGCCTGAATGAATTGCTCTTTCTGATAATTTGATTTACAACCAGATTTCAAGTATGCCCCCTTACTATATGTGAAATTTCCTTCTTATGAGAGGAATTGGGAATTCGAATATGCGGTTGGTTACCTCGTTTGCAGACAGTTATGTTATGGGAAATCATCGACTTCCTGTCGATGATGGACTCTACTGACGAGAGGTGAAATAGTCCAAAACGGTCTGCAAGTGTGCTCTCTTCCAATAACGCAGGTCTGCGAGTAGAATATTCAACTAATGATTTTAACAGTATTTTTGGGCAGATTACGGAAAAAATAGTAGAAAATTTTTATCACCTATAGATAAGTCACAAATTTCATCTGAAACTTTCTTATTAAATGGGTTTTTAGGTTCGAAAAAATAATTTCGTTTTGGTGTACCCATGGTTTGGAGAGAGCCTAAAAATCACAGTGATGACTGTTATTTTTGTTCTAGTTCAGTGCAAGGTTTCAATTCAAAAAACAGAAAGTATATTTTATACCCCACGAACATACGTTCAGCTGTTCGCCCTGTTCCTCATGGACCTAACTTGCCTATTCCTTCACCTCCAGATACCTTGGACAACATTTTGGACGATTTAGATGCAATAACACATAGTAGCAGTAGCGACAGTGATGACAGCTATGATTCAGGTACCAATGACTCTAAACTTCTCTCTCAATCAGACTTGAACGACTCAAAGAAAGACATGTTATCCTGCGGTGTTTCATTTTCATGATACCGATTTGGAGAAAGGGAATTTGCCCTTTTTTTTACACAAGAGGGTGATCTAGTTTTCTGCAACAATGTACCCGGCGTCGTGGAAATGTTCAACATAACGTATGTACCAGAGAAATGGAGACTTTTCATCGATTCATCAAAAAGAAGTTTGAAAGCTGTACTTCTTCACAATGGGAACCAATATGCTTCTGTGCCTGTTGGACACTAAGGCCATTCGAAAGAATGCTACGAAAATCTTGAATTTGTTCTTAATAAGCTCAGCTACTCTGATCATGAGTGGACCATTTGTGAAGACTTGAAAGTTATTTCAAAGTGTTTACACTCAGTTTACATGTTTCCTATGTGAATGGGATAGGCGTGACAGGAAACAACACTATGTCCAGCAGGTGTGACCAATAAGAAATGGTCCTGATCCTGGAGTTGAAAAACAGAGTTTAATGGATCCTAAAAAACCTTACTTCCACCATTCCAATTCAAATTGGGGCTAATGAAACAGTTTGTGAAAGCATTAGAAAAAGAAGAAGATTGTTACAAGTATCTTTCTGAAAAGTTTTCAGGTCTATCCGATGCTAAACTAAAAGGAAGAGTCTTCTTTGGGACTGACATAAAACACTTTTTGAAGGTGAAAGCTTTGTCATCAAAATGGAAATGAAAAAAAAAAATGCCTGGACTTCATTCAAACTTGTTATAAAAGGCTTTCTTGGAAACAAAAAAGACACAAACTAGAAAACTTCCGTTGCTGAATTGATACAAAACTACAAAATGCTGGGCTGCAGCATGAGTGTCAGAGTCCATTTCCTTCACTCACATCTGGACTACTTTCCCGAAAATCTGTAAGTGAGGAACAAGGAGAACGGTTCCATCAAGACATGAAAGATGTGGAACGCACTTGATGGCAGACTACTGTTGGATGTTAAAAAAGGAAAATTCACAAGAACACAGCCGAAAAAGTACCAAAAGAAGCTTTGACGGAAAAAGAAAACGTTGTTACAAAGACTTATAATCACTTCGCAAACACTTGTGTATCACTATTATGCTTAGTTTAGCTATGTTGAATTGATTTTCATTGCTTTAATTTCATGTTGGAATAATGAAAATAAACCCACAATTCTTCGTTTTTTTGTACCATTTCAATTATTTCATCCTTATTTTGTAGGCAAACCTTACGTGATAGATAAAAACAAATGCCATTTTTGAAATCAGCGCAAAAAACTACATGAATATCAGTTAACGAAATCAAAACAATTTTTTAAAAAGTGTTTTTTTGCAGACCTGTGTAATTGATAATCGATTCCAGCAGTAGTATCGCCTGTAATCCTGCACTGACACATGTTGGATATAATCCAATGCCCTTCGTGGTATTAGCCGGGGGATTAGTTCTTTTCTGGTGTCAGTTCATTCACCTACAGTATAGGTGAGTAGAGAATAGCCTAAATGGATTGTTCATTCAGATAATTTGAGTTCTTATTTTTTTCGAGTTTTGAATAATAGTGCCGCACAGATTCCAATCCCTTTCGTAATAGGACACGCAGCAATCATTTTTACCAACCTCCATTCATAAACTGAAAAGCCCGAGTACTTGAAAGCGGTTACGTGAGACATGGTCATTTCGAAACTGAAGTTACAATTGATCGCGGGCCATTACCAAAGAATTTTTCTAATGGTTGAAGACATGATTGCGCTTTGTTTCAACAAAAAACAATGACGTCGAAAGCATATGAAGCTACTGTTATAACTGACCTTTCTGTTTTGTTCTGGATCCTAGTTCACGAAATAAAATGGAAAGATTGTCATGTTAATTCAGTAATTTGTTATTGTGAATTAAAAACTAATTTTTTTCACACACTAGAATGAAATTCTTCTTTACAATTATATTTTTTCCAGTCTTGGGATCAATGTAATTTTTTCCTAAATTATAACTTCTTTGTTTGTTGAATGTGAAGTATTTCAACATGACTTTCTGAGGAAAAGAAACTCCTTGGGGGTCTATGACTCCATTACTATCCCAAATTGTGAGAACTTTCAGAGAACAGAAGAAAGAACATAACTATCACGAACACTTTTCATAAACAAAATGATGGTTTTAGCCGTCGTATAAGGACATTTTCAAAATTATACATTGTCTTAAGACGAAACATCGGTGTATACCAGTGAGGGTGAAAGTGTTCTATGTGAGTACAATTTATTACCATTCATTCAAAGTAGAACTCATGTGTATGATATCTGATTCTTATTCCACAACAAATGTTTGAAATACAAACTGAGTAGAGAAAAGTATCTTCTGTATAATTCAGTGTTCATATAGAAGTATTTGTTTCGAAAGAATTATTTTCTTTCGTGTAATTCAATGTTTTTATGAAAGTAGCTGTTTCAGGAGGACTTTCTTTCAGTTTGTGTCTGAAAATTACTTGTTCGCATGATCTACACATTCATGTATAGAGTTTCAAATTGATTACTTACTTCCTTTCTTTGCAAGATTCTCTCATCCCTTTTTTTGTATCAGATGGAGTAGTGAAAGCCAAAAACTTTCTTTCCCAAAAAATTAATCACTCCTAAAAATATAACCCCTTCAATTCATATACATTGAACTTTTACATTACTGTATAACTTTGAAAATGGTCCTTATAGGAGGAAACTGCAGTAACGTTAGTCTCGAATAAAGTGGTAGAAAACATAGAAAGTTTCAATACTTTTCATAAAGATCCGTATGCATCATCCACAAACAATGCTTTCAGATGCAAACTGGAAAAAATGCCTTCGAAGTCTTGAATGAACATTTTATTTTACGGAAGAGAACTACTTTAATATGGACATAAAATTACACGAAAATGATTTTTTCACTTTATTAAACATTCGTTTCTACAATTTCCCATCGTTTTGACGTACTTCCATATAATACCAAGTGCTATTTTAAAACTATTTCGAGAGGACTTGTCCTTGTGAAATGAATTTCCAATAGCCGTTTTCTATAGCTATGTAGTATTCATTCATGTTGCATTACAATAAACTGCAATTTTCAGTATCGTTGTACAGACATTTTCAGTTTTTCAGTGATTTCAGTAAATTAAACATTTTTTTTCCAATACAAATGGAATTCCATGATGCAATGCTTTCAATACTTTCATATTGATCGGCATTTTTTTTCTCGATTCGTTTTTTTTTTCATAATAAAGTAACAGCAACAGCAAGTAGACTATAAATCGCTCTGCTGACCTGAAAATTCATCGCATTGTATTGCTAGTTACACCTGAATATAATTCATTCTTACGAATAAAATATATGGATGACCCAAATCAACTAGTCCCAAACAGGATGCTTTCATCGGTTCTTTGATTGCAGGAAGAATTATCATCATCGATTTCTTATTCGACTCATTCCAGTCTATCCAGTCGCAAGAGTAGAGCTTTTCGTGAAGTTTGCTGGACTGAAATAAATTACTTATCATCAACGACATAAAAAATACGAAGTGTTTCTCATGTAGATGATAATATATGGAGGCGCTATGTTTGAGATATTGAGGTGTTGACTTTTGAACTAGAGCACGATAAAGAAAAACCAAAGTCTTTTTCTGCTAAACAGCATATTTGAAAATTTTTCCAGTGCTGCCGTGATGTATTTATACTGCACAATCTTTGAAACTAGACATTATTGCTGAAGTTTAAACATCATCATCAAAAATGCATTAGGAAGTCGGGCAAAAGTGCTTTGCAAAATGGAATATATTCAATACACGAACATTTTCAAACATTCATTGAAAGTGGTGGATAGGTAAGGGTTGAAACTGTCTGAAAGAAATAATAATGATAGTAATAACTTTATTCACAGTAGAAAAAATATATATGATGGAGCTTGTTCTTCAAGATACCGCCATTAAATTGGTTTCGATTTCTTCATGTAATGAGCACGACTACTGATACTTCATCGAAAACCAATTACAGCTTTGATGGAAGGTGTTTCCATTTTGATAAGAAAGCTACTATGCCCCATGCACGAAGGGATTTAGTGAGCAAATTGTTGGACCAAAATCAAAACAATGGTTGGATAAGTTATGAAGGGTTTCAAGTTATTTTCTTGGCGGTCATTTCCAAATGTGGGTTTACAGGTCTCTAATTCAAACAAACTGGAGGGCAATCAGAGGAAAACACACATTCCCATAATGTTATTCAGATTTGGTGCTCAAAAGCTGATGAGGCAAGTGTCTTACGGCGAAACATCGGATGTCTACCAGTGAGGATGTTAGTGTTCCATGTAAGTCAAATTTTACCTTTTTCATTTATTATATTGTGTAGGGATCCTGTGAATGATATCTGATTCAATTCCATAACGAATGTTTGGAATACAAACTGAGTAGAGAAAAAAGTTTTTTGTTTAATTCAGTGATCATGTAAGTTTTGATTCGTGTAACTCAATGTTCATATTTATTAATTCAGTTATTTATCCATACACAGTTTAGTTGAGAGCTAATTTACACATATAAGGGAATAAAACAAACTTTGGGATTTCACAAACGAATATCAATTCAGGTAATATAATCCATCGTCCCGGCAGTTCCCACCAGAAAGTCTTCAGGTCCATCGTTGTAGGATCTTGTGGGACATTCCTTTGTTGTTGTTGTTGTTTGCCACATTTGTGCAAGAGTTATGCACATCTGCCATATTGCGTTGTGATTCTGTTAAGCGTGGACGAGGTTCTGCGTGGTAGGTCAAACCATGGGAGCTTTTGGGTAATGCAGGGCATATTATTGCCTTGTTGAGTGGTCCATTCTTGGGTACATGCATTGGTCAGGTTGAACTTCTCTGGCATTGCTGCACTTGCCGTTTTAGTTGGTGGATTTCTGGAGTGGATACGATTGTGGTTAGCGTCCTCAAGGTCTTGATGAATTGGCAGATTTTTATTTTCCATGATCTTTTTGTACTCTCCTGTAAGGGCGTTTATCCGTCGCAGCTTTGGGGGTTGGATATGGCTAAGTTCTTTGAGTCACTGAGTGGGGGTCGACTTGATGACACCAGCAATAATTCTCATGATATTACTCAGTTAGACGTCCACCTTCTTTGTGTGCGGACTGTTGAGCCAAGCTGGGGTACAATATTCAGCTGACGAGACGACAAATCCCTGAGCGAAGCAGCGCAGCGTAGAAGCCGATGCTCCCCAAGTGGTACCAGATACCTTCTAGATTATATTAGTCCTGATTTTCAGCCTCTTGATGGTTTAAGTTACGTGTTCTCTGAATGATAGTGTCTTATCAGGAGTCACGCCAGGTATTTCGGTGTTTCTTTGTGGGTTGGTTTGGTACCATCAAATCGTATGTTAACCTCTTCTCTGACTAGTTTGTCATTGAGGTCGAAGCAGCTAACCTCTATTTTGGAGGCATTTGGCTAGAGTCTCCAATTGCGTACGTGTTCAGCCATTGTCTTCAGGTCTGTCGTTAGGATTTCCTTAGATAGTTTGATTGAGTTACATCTTGTTGCTAGCACCCAGTCATCAGCGTACCCGAACTTGTTCAACCTTGTTTTCGGCATATTCGCTTTATATGAAATGAAGAGAAGTGAAGCGAGCACTGATCCCTGTGGCGGGCCGTTGTTAAGTTCCTTTGGTGAGCTGATGCTGGTGTTCATTATAACCCGAACGTCCGATCACCGAACATGTTTGATATCAGTAGGTTCATCTGCTTGCATGGAATTTTTCTGAGGAGTTTGCAGAGCGTTCCCTCCTTCCATACGGTGTCATAGGTGTCCTGCTTCGATATAGGTGCTAATTGACAGGACCTGGTCTGCACATTATGGTTTTGACCGAAAGCCCACCTGCTCAACTCGTATTGCCTTCAGGATAACTGAGCTGATTCTATTGTGGACAAGGATTCCCAGTAGTTCATAGGATACGAGCTGTAGAGCGATTGGTCTGTAGCTTTTTGGACTATCGGCAGGTTTACATGGTTTCAGTAAGACTATCACCTCAGAGCGTTTGAATTCTGGTGGGACGCTGCCAGAATGCATAATGTCCGTGGAGAACTTGGCCAACCAGCATTTGGTGTATTCACCACAATTGATTAGGAACTTGGGGTGGATGTTGTCGAATCCTGGGGCCTTTTTCACTGTGATATCCTGTATGGCCTTTGGTACTTCCTCACTGGAAAAGGGGCGGGAGTATTCCGTTCACGTGGCTTCGGCATTCAGGGTTTTAAGTTCTCTTTGTATCTGTTTGTTGTGTGTTCTGTCTTTCGATGTTCTGTATGTTGCTACTATGTGTCAGGTTACTTTATTTGGGCTTACGTCTATTGTTTGTCAATGCTTTCGTGCATCGCCCCCAGCTTCCTCAGTAGTGACTACGACTGCCTGCTCGATGTTTGAAAGTTGACGCTTTCGACAGTTTCAGTCCACTTTTGTTGGCGTGGAGTATTCACCCTGTGAGTAAGTTCATTCGTTATTTCCTGGTCACCGGTTTCAAGGAAGTTTTGATATATGTTGTTTTGAGACTATTCAGAAAGATATTCTTTACCGTACCTTCTGGGTATGTGCTTTTTAGTGGTTCTTGTTACTGCGCTAATGAATGTTTATATGAAAGTATCTGTTTGGGCTGTTTCCTTCAATTTGTGTCTGAGAGTTACTTCTTTGTATAGTCTACATATTTTTGTATATAATTGCTTCTTTCAAATTAATCACTTTCTCTGTTCCTTTGGAAGATTCCCAGATTTTTTTGGTATCAAGATGAAGAAGTAGAAAGTCAAAATCTCTATTTTCGAAGAACGTCATAGTTTCTCGTATGATATTCGTATGATTGAGTTTATTTTTATGCGTTCGGTGGACTTTTCCTCTAGGCATGAAGGTTTTTTATGTGCTCAGCCATTTGTTTTCAGTTTGACAAAATTTTTTCATGGCTTTTTACTTCTCCAACAATAAACACAATTTTTTTTCGTTGTAACTATTCGATGGTTATATGAAAGTAGTCATTTCGTGTTATTCGAAAAAGTTTTCATTTTACTTATTTCATGCATTCGTTCCTTTGAAAGTTTCCTGATTTTTTTATTGATGTTGGGAAAGTAGAAAGCCAAAAAATGTTCTATTCAAAAAAATGTTTTTTTTTTCACCAAATTGAAAAATTTTAGTGCTCATCTATTTTACTCCGTCATTGTTGTAATAAAAAAATAACTTCTGAAATGGGTTTCTCACTCATTTCATTGAATTCAGTTAATTTCAGTTCTTACTTGTTATTTTCATCACTGATTCATTGAATGAAAAACATTGTTATCATGAAAAAAAAAATCAAAACATCAGCATTCTTTCGTTCAAAAGTTGAAACCTTTGGGATATCTGTTGATATGAAGTGTTTTTCTCAAAATGGACCAGAAACTGAACAGAAATAATAGCCTATTAATAATAACACTCATTAAAATAATACTTAATTGTCATATTTTCACTAGACAATTTACAAAACAGCCGCAACACGTGTTTCGCTATACACTAGCTTCCTATACTGTTTCCATACTGTGTATAGCGAAACACGTGTTACAATCGTTGCGGTTTTGTGAACTGTCTAGTGAACATATCCCAATGAAGTCTTGTTATGGATTTTCATTAAGTATCGTCCAATTCCATCACATGTAATTAACACTCATCATTTATGAATAGAACATTTCTGCCGTACCCAAATATTTTTGAGAAAATTTTGTGATATATTTACCATACCTCATCGCTCAGTAGTTGTCCGTTGATACAATGAGAGCAGAAAGTTACGGCTCCGGTTACAAGGCCAATCAGCATTCTAAAATTACTTGGTGGACTTATTTCCTAGAATAGAACAGATACTCGTATATTAATTACAACCTATCTTTCTACACAAAAGAGAATGTTGTCTCTGTCCCTTTGTTATAGTGCAGTACTTTTCTCGGATAGTCCCCCTTTAAAAAATTTCCGGGTATTATCATTTCAGATCTGGTGCCTTACCATAGAATTTGATAGCCCCACAAGTGGTTTATGACCTATACATGGTGTAACATTAACATTATATTCAAGTGACTTATTCCTTAGAGAATAAAAAAAATCATAAGCTGGTGTCCGGAAATGCTTCACTTCGGTATCACAGGGGGTTGAAAATAAATTTTCATGTTTGTTTTTTTCAAAATAACTTTCGCCACCAATGATTAATTCGCGCAAAATTCAATACCCAGGGTTTTTTTGACTTGAGAAATCATAATTTCGTAATAATTTTCATTCAGATGGCGCTGCGTAAGTTATCATTATCCATTTCGAATCGCCCAAACCTTTTATACAGTATATTTTTGGTACTTTTGAAAAAAAAACCTGATTCACGCATCTTCTTCGTGTAAAAAAGGTACACCTCCTCAACAACGTTGAAGGTGATCGTTTTCGACAATAACAATTTATGACATGTAATGTTTCCTAATCTTCAAGAACTGTTAAAAATGACTACCCCCCGCTTGGATGCAAGAATTCAATCTTCTCTTTATCGACTCCCGAACGCTTTCAGAAACATCAGAATCTTACAAGTAATATAAACTGTTGACTTCAGGCTGCCCCATAGAAAATAATCCAGGGGTTTTAAGTTAGGTGATCGATCAGGCAAGTGAAGTCCACCTCGACCAATCCAGCGATCTCCGTATGTTACTGTTGAAAATGTTCTAGCCAAAATGCTGAAATGTGTTGGTGCACCATCGTGCATAATCCACATTGCATTTCTTGTAACCAATGGTACATCCTCCAGAAACTGAGGTAGCGTTTGTTCCAAAAAGTTGCGGTATACGTCGCCGGTAAGTCTTCCTGGTAGAAATAGCAGTCCAATTAGGAAGACACTTACAATTTCTATCCAAACATTCAACCAGAACTGATGTTGAAAACGATCTTCAAGCACCATATGTGGATTTTCTTCAGTCCAAACATGGTTATTTAGGACATTCCTTATGGCACTTCTTGAGAAACTGGCTTCATCAGTAGAAAGAATAAGCTTCAGTAGTTGAGGGATTTGACCCAATGTGTGCAAAAGCCATTGATAAAATGCAATACGTGCAAGAAGTGCCTGAACTCGTTAATGTGGTATGGAAACGAAAGAGTCACTAAGAATGTTCCAAATCGTCCCGCTACTAACATCAGAAATATTTGCAATTTTTGGAGTAGGGGTACCTGGATCTTCTTTTATCATGGCCAGCACATTCTCTTCTAGTTCTACCGTTCTTACTGTTATTAGCCTTCCTGATCCTCCAATTCGTTTCAATGCTTTTATCATTTTTCTATTGGGCACATTACGATTGGGGAATTGTTCACACCGCCTAGGTTCCAATGAACTGCCATCAGCAAGTGCATGAATGAAATGCATCTCAGTAATCTCTGTGTTACTATAGTTATTCATGATAGAGGACTTCACTAACGAGGCTTCGAATATTAAACACATAAAATGCACATCAAATAGAAAGTCAATCAGTTTCAACCTATTTGATACATATACATGATCACTTACGAGAAATACTGTTCAAATTGAATGTCTGCAGCCGTTTGTAGTAATCGGAATGTTGTTCATAGATACCAACGGAACACTTGGTAGGTCCAGTCTAGTACGCTATACTTTTATTTCGGCTACGTTGGTAATTTTAAAATTACCAAAATTGTTATTGTCGAAATTAGTTTTCGCCCCGCATCTTCGAAACATAGCGCCCTATCAAAAATCATCGAAGGACAAAATATCCTTAGAATAGTCCAAGGAATAGCCCCTTAATTTTTTCCTGACGTTCAATGAATACATCCATACACAGTCTCCGTACTGCTTCCGTGGTATTACTTTATTCACAACCTGTGCATACCATTATATCGTTGTGTATAAATTATTATTATCATTTAATATTATACGAAGACTAAACAAAATTTGTATTCGATGAAGAAATTAACGGATGTGGTAGGAGATCATCATGAAAAATGAGAAATAAAACATCTTATGTTTTTTTTGTCACTTATTCCTCATTTTTCACGATATTCGATGAATATTCGTGCCTACGTGAGTGGTTGATTTTTATCAGATGATAGGAATTCGATTCGGCCGACGGATGACGGAGCTCTTTTATTGAGGAAATAAATTATTTCCCGAAAGTCGCTATTTCGATGAGAAATGGAAATGAACCTGATATTTGTGACATGCTTAAAGAAATGAACTTACTGTTTTAATGAAGTACACAAATGCGACCACTGCCAATATCAGTGGAGGAGTGAGAATTATCATGTAAAAATCCTGTCTCCGGAAAAGTAGCTTATACAAACTAAAAAAAAAAAATCATCAGTTGTCTTCAGTGATGTTGTACAACATCACTGAAGACACTATTGAATCCAATGACGCTTTAAATTTTTAGCGTTTTACTGAATTGAATGAAGGAGAAAATGAAATTTCAAAATATCAAATTTAGCAAAGAAAGATCTTTTGCATTACAATATTGTAAAAATAGTTAAATAGAGGAAAATATGCCAGTAATCATACTCATTAATTTTTTCACATTTTTTCAAATTCATAGAAGAGTTATTAAATATGAAAATAAGGTTTAACTTTTCATATCGTATTAGACATGAATTTGATGAAGAGTTTGTCCTGAAAACGACAATTGGTTTCGAAAATCAGTTTCAAAATATCGGAAAAACTTGAAATTTGCAACAATATCTACGGCTCAATTGGACGGTTACCCAAAAATAAAATTGTTAACTTGGTCAGAGAACAAAATATTAGCTAGACAATCATCTAAAGATAAAAAAAAAACTGAAAAAGATATACCGGCATCATAATGCGAAAAACTGGGGGACATCATGTTTTATTACATAACAGGGTTAACAGATTGAAGGTAGAAATGGATTCTCTAGACGAAACTCAAAAGCTTAAGTCACTGTTTATAGAGCTGGACTTTGTCCAGACATGACGTGCATTTTCGAAATATATTGAGACTCTAAAAAACGCATGGATATTACATGGCACTGATCGTAGGAATTTTGTGAGAAACCGCGTGATTACAATGATTGATAAAAATATTTGAACCCCTCGTATCATTTAAAAAAACCAATATTGGAATCGAAGATTTCAACGAATAATTTCGAAATTATTTTTTTGAGGACAAACTCCTAAAGGCCCTTTAGGAACGGTTCCTGTAACAAAGTAGCGATTTACATTTGATTTGAATCGCTGGAGATTGAATTCATTCTGAAAACTTTCTCATGAAGTTTATTCCACTCTAATACAATTTTTCAAATGGAAGAGTTTGTTTATTATATGACAGTAAATTCATATAGGTAATCAAAACTGTTTTTTCCAACTTTAACTCGTATTGTCAAGGATTCATCCTTGGTCCTGGTCCATAACTGAATTCTGATGGTGAATATTTCAGACAGTCATGAAAACATAAAAAATTATATCAAGAATAATTTGGATTGGATCCTCATTTGGCTTGATGAACATTACATTGTTGCTCAATTTCAATAAACTCTCATATATGAATATTTCTAGAAGGCTTATCTATATTTCAACTAATTCGATAACTTTTGATGAAAATGCCAAGAAATATACAAAAACACAAAATTTGTAGATTCAATCATTGATAAGAAATGGTCATGAAAAGACTATGTTGAGAAAAAATTGAAAGGTGATTTCTCCTTATTTTCATTCATTCTGTCATACAAAAATATGAACTTATATTTTTCTCATGATTATGTTGCATGACAAACCCAATTACTTTCAAAAACTAAAACACCAACAAATTTTTGAAAGAAGCTGATGTATCACGATGAGATCATTATATGTACTTCTATTCCACAGAAAATGAACTAATATTACAAAAAATAAATATCAATTAAAGAAAAAATCCAATCACTGAAATAGAAATAGTTTCCATAACTAGGTATGTACAATTGATGAATTCTGGTGTAAATTCGATTGAAGGAACGTTTCATAGGTAGAAAATATAATATTTCATCAGTTCGGACTTCCATTGTCTGATAAAATATGAATTAATGTGTAATCCCTGACAAAAAAAAACAAAAAAAAAGATTAATCGATAATAACAATTGTATTAAACGAAAAAAAACTGAAATTGAAAAATATTATTAACAAAACATGGAAAATAAAAATTAAAAGATTCCAAAACAAGTCATGTCAAGACGTTTCGATTGTTAGTATCCACATTCATCTTCGGGTGATAACTGGACTTATTCCTCCGATATTCGACTATTTATAGGTCATTCGAGTGCTTTCACCCATCCCCTCTTCCATCTCTTCGCTTCATTGGTTTTAGCGGGAGATGACCGTTTGGCGAGAGTTGGTCGATTTTCGCTTGATTGGAGGTTTCCATATGTTGCGGATTTCTACGCTAGCGTAGAAATCTTTTGATTTTTATTTTTAATTTTTTATTTACAATATTTTTTAATTTTCAGCTTTTGTTGATATTTCGATTTTTACTTTTTTGGTTGTTGCTTGTATGTCATTTCTTTGATTTTTAGTTTTTTTCTTTAATAAAATTGTTATTATCGGTTAATCTTTTTTTTTTATTTTTTTCAGAAATTCCAAATCAATTTATATTATATCAGACAATGGAAGTCCCAACTGATGAAATACATCACGAAACATTGTCAACCAATAAGTTAAACAAATTGAGTATTTTGAAAGGGAAGTCAACCTGTGGGGTAGAATAGGAAAAATGGATTAGAAAATTTACATGAAATTTTGTGTAACAAATGTATTACCCTATAGTATATCAATAAACGATATAAATGTTAATGAAGTGAAAAAAATTGTTCTGGTACATCGGTTAGCTCATGACATGCAATTTGTTCGTAAATTTCGGACATGAAGCGTGTGGCAGCCAATGTGAAAAAAATCGTCGCATGAGCATCGCTCAGGAATTGTCAGGAATGATCTCAACAAAGATGCAAATTTACTCAAATGGGTCATTACTGGTGACGAATGATGGCTATATGGTTATGACATCAAAGTCTATCAAAGTCCAAAAGTTCCAATGGGGGAGCCCTTCAAAGCCAAGACCAAAAAAGCACGCCAAGTTCGTTCAGATGTTGAACTTTTGCTCACTGATTTTACTTGCTACATGGTTGTACGATCATTAAGGGGTATTATCTTGAAGTTATGCGTTGCTTGCATCATGATAATTTTTCGGACAAAAAAGGCACGAGCGCAGTGCCTCAGCCATCGCATTCACCAGATTTTCACCTCTGCGACTTTTTCTTGTTCTCAAAATTGAAGAGACCGATGATAGGACGGCGGTTTGTGACGAATGAGGAGAAAAAATCCGAATCATTGAGAGAGCTCAAGGACATACCAAAAAGTGTATATCAGAACTGCTTTGGGGATCGGAAAAAATGCTGACATAGGTGATATCTGAAGATCACTTTGAGTGATACAAAATGGAAATTGACGAATAAATGAATATTTTTGAAGAAAAATAAACCTTTTGGAGAAAAATTAAAGTTTTTTTTTTAACAGAGTAGTGAGTATATTTATGTGATTTTTCAATAAGCAACAAAAGATATGTGATGATATCCAAAGTTATCACAACAAGAGCATACACATTAGATGGAAATTTTATGAAGTACAAACTTCAAACAGTGTGCAAAATATGGTGCAAAAAAATTATTCAATCTGCATTGTTATGAAAAACAGAAAATTGATGTGTCAAAAGTACAAAAACAAAACTTTCTGTAGATTTGTATACATTACTGATTATAATTTCTAATGTTTATATTCTGCAGATTTCTTGAACAAACATCACTTACTTTTTTATTCTCAAGTGATTCTCTACGAAATTCTTCAAACCGTTTCGAACTTCCTGCTGGCGAATATCCTCATTTTTTTCTCTAACCAAACTTTTCAGCTTCTCAAAGTGTCTGTCCAAAAGAATGAATTGAAACTTCAAGTGGAAAATGATATATCCTGTAACGATTGTGGTACTTCCAACTATCCAACCACTTATTCCCAGTAAGAGGGCAAAGATGAGGTAAACGAAAAAACGAAGTCCCACCAGCCAATTTCCAAACCATTCCTTCATTATGGTGATCTGAAACAGAAATATTTCTTCGTCCCCAACGAAGGGCAGAAATGAAATTGTCATCAATATTGAGAGGAACAGGGGAATAAAACATAATCTCATCACCCATCCAATTTCATTTTTGATCTTTTTCTCAATAACATGGCCACCTGAGTCTATACAAGAACAGTTTTCGAAGACCATATGTTTGTATTCGTTTACGTCATGACCATAAACGACACTTGTGAAGAAGGCCGCATCAGACTGAAATAAAACATTATTGCGAATGATTTTACAATAAAAGTTTTCAATCAGTTCATAGCAACAAACTAACAGAATATTGGAACAAGCTTATTCCCAACAATTAGGTTTCAACTTTCCTGAAATATACACTCCCCATGCCACAAAGAACTGGCCAATTGAATTTATCACAGTGCTTGGATTTCTTCACAAGAGAGGAAATTTGGATGGACATGAAAAACCAACGTGTTCAAGTTGCAAGGAAAGAAGAAAATGTACAAAGTCTCTATCGATACATTTGTTTCCCCGTATTTTAGGCATTCATTTTAAAAGATTCACTCAAACAGAAAGATTCAGAGACAAGTTAAATGTTGCCTTCGAATTTCCTCTAGATGGATTAGATATGAACAATTATGCAGCAGAAAATGTGACTCCTTGTCGTTATAATCTATATGCACTTTCGAATCACACTCAACCTACAGCAGACATTATACAGCATTCTGCAGACATCCTTATATTGGCACGTGGCACGAAAACAATGACCAATGACAATACAATGACCAATTTCACCAAAATAGCTTGTGAGTGGAGATGCTTACATCCTCTTTTATGAGGAGGAAACAAGTTCGCACCTTTGAGCGTTTTGATGTGTTATTTTTGTACTGTTGTTTTTGATGTTATAATGAATTAGATGTTACTTATATAACAAAAAAAAAAAAAAGAGTACCTATATCTGATATGGAAAAACTAAATTTGCTCTGAAATATGACTTTATTTGAATAAAATTTTGGTATGGATTGATACAACTTGCCAGTAACATTTCTCATTTGGTAATATATTTCAAAATTTTATGAGAGGCAGCTGGTAGTCGGTCGGTTCGACGTACTCTGTTCACTCAGTCAGTCGTCCACCGTGTTGGTCGGTGGTTCAAGCTGCAGGCTGAACGATGAACGCTGAACGAAAATTTGACAATGCTAATATGAATAACTGATTATCTTCGAAAATTTCAATAGGGTATCGGTAACATACTTGTTTTCAACAAAATGGTGTTATCGTTTATTTGTTATTGTTTTATACGGTGTGTATACGGTGACATGAGATGGAGCAACTTATTGAAATGTGAGTTTTTGATATATTATTCTGGGCGTTTTTATCGATTCAGTAGAATTCAATGACAGATTCGGTCGATATAGAAATTAAATTAGAAATACTATACAGTAATTCTCAATGACACAGTGAGGAAGGACGTTTCGGCATTTTACCATCTTCAGGTTCTTAAATATTGATAAACTAAAAATACAGAAATTTTATCATACAAAGACGAAAAAATAAAATGGAGAAACAGAAAAAATTCATTGGGAGATTTGAAAAGTTAGATCAAAAACCTCATTCCCCTCTCATTCAATGTCAATACAAAGTTATTTTTAAGGAGAAAACACAAACACTACAGAAAAATCCTTGAGGCGCTCTTAGAGCGGTGCCTGTGTGAAAGTAGTGATTCACATTGGATTTGAATCGCTGGAGATTAAAGCCATTTGAAAAAACGTTCTCAGGAAGTTCATTCCACATGAACGCCGTTTTCCAAATTGAAGAGTTCTTAAACAATGAAGTTTGAGGTGTACTGAGTTGAACCTCAAAACGATGAGCAGCCACAGTCCGTTGCGTATTTCTGATATATATCGCTTTTGGTGGAATCAAATGTGCCAAGTCACTTCCCAACCAGCAAAGTTGTTTTATAATTCCATGGTGTTGCAACAGTTTAATTTTATTAGTATTTTATAATTACTTCCAATATGCTAATTGATTATATTAGATGATCGGTGAACACAATACAGTTGTAGGCAATAAAAGTGTTTTATAAATTTGTCATAGGAACGTTCATGAAATAAAATTAAAAAACCATTATAAAATAGTCAGGAAATTATCACAGAAACGTTTTTGCAACTAACTTATAAAACTTATTTTCCTATAAAAGTAAATTGTTATGTAGCAGTTTTATAACACTTTTCTACGAGATTTTTATGATAGTTATAAAACTATTTCAAGCTTATTTTATAACTGTTTCCTGTAGCTTCAATGAAATTATTTTATTAGAAAGCTTTCAGATACTATTTCATTTTCATTACCATATTGTCACTTCAATGATAATTTCCCAACTATTTTATAGTATGATATATTAACTACAATTCAGAAACACTAATATAACTGTTATAAAATCAAATTGCTTTTGCTAATATATATTTGCTGCCACCAAGAAAAAAACCAGCATTTGAGAACAACCAGCTGACATCTATTCCTTATCGCAGCTTTGAAAAATTCTTCAAAATTTTAGTCATGTTCAGTGAAAATATTTTTGTTTAGTTATTCAAGTAGGACACCATCGATATCGTGGTGGAAATTAGGAAATTAGGTTGCGTTGGCAGGTTACAGAGACCACTGTAGGCCACAACAAATAGTAGATATTTATGAAAATAAACGTAAACTTTCACTGAATTCAAATTTCCATGACTAAAACACTCGACATGCATATCAAATTAGACTTATAAGATACAGTTTGAATAAAGCTATGAATATACTCTTGAAATTGAAACAGTTCCCAATCAACTCAAGTTTCTACACTATTGCACCCCACCCCATTCGTATGGGAACGTTTAGATACTTATTTGATTATTTCAATATCTTCAATCGCTTTTGAAGATATTAATGTTTTGATGTGTTTGATTGTTCATGCTGTATACCATAGTGTTTTTAACTGACTCCGTGATGTTTTTCTTTGAAATATAATATCTATTCAACTACATTTTTTGTAATGAGACTTGTTACAAATAAAAACTTACATAAACGTAGTCAAATGAAATATTTTCAGATAAATTATCTCTCTTTGAGAGATGCTACTGTGTAGCGAAACGAGTGGAAACCTTGCAACAAATTTTCTTTTGATACGTTATAATCCTCATCAAGTATCGGTTAAAAAAATATGAGTACCCAAAGGGATCGGAATATTTCATTTCAAAAATAATCTGAATTCGTTAGTAACCCAAGAGCAGATATCACTTTTGCTACTGGATTGTTAGCAATATAATCGAAAATGAATATATAGTCGTTAGTCAAATCGAATATTGAATAACATAAGTTTCTATATCATCTCAACATCATACACAAGTCAATAAAAATATTCTCGGACAGTCAGGCAGTGTTGAAAGATCCTGGCTCCTTCCGAACAACGTCTTAATTGGTAGCAAATTGCCTTAAACGACTCTCCCCGATAGAAAGACTTAACAGATTGTCTCTGGTTTGGATTCCTGGCCATACTGGCCTGGAAGGTAATGAGGCTGCTGACCTTGCAAAGCAGGGTGCTGCAAGCAGCTTCATCGGACCAGAACCTGTCATTGGCATCGCTTTAGGCTTTGCCAAACAAACATTGACACCTGGATGGCAAGAAGATTTATGGACTCCTGGCAGAATCTTCCAGGATTGGCTCACTCCAAGGTATTTACTCACCTTCCGAAGCTTGATACCAAACAGTTGTTGGAATGTAGTAGGAATAAACTACGATGTCTAACAAGCCTTCTCACAGGTCAGTGTCATTTGAATCATTATATGCAGAGACTTGGACTGTCGGAAGACAGTGTGCGTCGCCTCTGTTTGGAAAATAATGGACAGCAGAGCATATACTTTGTGCCTGCCCCGCTGTGGACCAATTCAGAATTTTAGAGTTCGGCAGAGCCGTACTCCTACCATCTGATTCGAAAGACCACTCACCATACAAACTAATTGGCTTCGTTAAGAACATGGGTGTATTTTGTCGAGTGTGAACCACAATTAACCCTTGCGGGTTGCGGTGGAGGGTCGAATACACCCACTCACTTCAGACCTAACCTAACCTATATCATCTGACAGTCCATCTGTAAAATATGAAATGACATCTGATTCAAAATTAAAATCAACCTCTATGAATGAGCTTTTTTGAAACTCTGATAATGACGTTTCTACTCGATAACTCCATTCACATCATATTTGGATAACTAGTTGTTTTTTATCCCACTCAAATTCAACAAGAGATGCTGTATACAAGATATCACTTTCAACATTTTTTTCGAAAAGTCATTGTTCAGTCACAGTGGTAAATGAACAGGTTTTTTTATCTCGATATAAAAATACTTATAGACGATTGACTTACCGGAAAGTGGAATATGATGCCCAAAATAAACGGTTTGAGCTTCTCTTTGGACAAAAATCCATAAAATATACCAGCCAAAATCATTACCAGTTGGCAGGATAAGAATGCGAAAGAAACAAGTTGATGTATTCTTCTATTTTTTATAATAGTGTACCCACTGCAATCGAGTAAAATTCGAAGGGGATCTTCTTCAACTTCAAATTTTACATTTAAAGAGTTATTCATTTGCTATATTATATAACAGAGCATTTTTACCTGTCATATGTTTCACTGTTACTTTCTGAAACATTTTATGAAGATATATAAACGAATGTATTCAATTCCACAACTCAGATTGAATAATCCGAACGAACATTTTGTTCTGAGTAACTATAACGATAACGAAAATGTAAAACACGTATATTTCTCTTAGCTCATTACCACGATATCATCAATAAAGAACAATATGTCAATATTCTGATGATTGATGTTGTTGACAAGTGCATTATCGAATTCGTTAAATGAATTTAAATGCATTCTCTTGAATATTGAATCTATAAGTTCAAACATTGATTTTATTACAAAATATGAAATGATATTATAAACTGAAGTTATGAGAAAAGTAAGATTCAACCTTGAACTGCCTGAATCATGATGTTATTGTTTTGTTTCCATTTGAATAGTGTTTTTGCTGGCACCCAGATTGTCATTCCTATCAAAAGATATTCGCTATCTCTGCTCTACGCATTTTGATTCACAATTTTTTTGAGGAAAGAACAGATCTTGAATACAATTATTGCTAACAGAATAGATCATTTTTCGATGAGATAAGTGATCGAAGAGGTTACATTTTGACATTCGTATCGTTCAGGTCTACAAATACTCATATTCAACTCGTTTGAAAAATATTTTGTTCTGTAAATACATACCATTGTAGACCCCCGATTTTTGTCTTGGGTCTACAGGGTCAGAGGTCTACAATTCATCTTGTGGATTGTACCCAGAAGTTTATATACGAATGACAAGAAGTTTCAAAACGGAAATCTCCGATCTTGAAAAAGTTTCGAAATTAAGGAAACTAATTCTACTTATGCTTGCCACCTTTCAGGGAATAGCCAAGATTTCAACATGGACTATGACATATTGAATACATAAAATTAGGGACGAAAATTAAACCTGCTGGAATCTCTGGAAGTCAATAAACACAAATATTCAAATTTTCAACCAACAAAAAGCTATTAATTCATCATTATCAATCTTCCTTTCATCAAATGTTAAAAAAAAACGTTTTACAAATATTGTATCAATTGTTCTTTCACGATCAACCAGAATTAACCAGTGTGCATTGTTTAGAACCTTTGGTGTAGTAATGAATATTACTGGAGTTTTTTTGCAACACCTCTTGAAGATGATCACTTGGTGATCGAAACACGTGTCAATGTGTCAAAATAACGGTTTGGTGTTGGGAAAAATTTCAGAATTAACCAGAATCAACCTAATATTTGAATAAGTTTTAAAATGCATCGCCAATAATTCACCTGTTTTTTAGGAGTAATACTGTAGAGTTATTGTTTTTTTAAAATTTACATTTTATTCATCTGATATATTTGGGAAGTTCCAGAATGCTTATGAATATTCCAGATTATTCCTGAATGTTTCAGACCATTCCTGAACATTCCAGAATGTTGAGAAATAATCTGAATTGTTGTGGAATTTTCTTGAATGGTCCGGATAGTACTGGATTAATCTAAAATTTTAAAGAAGGTAAAAATTAGAGCCCTCATTCAAAAGCACGCCTTCGAAGTAAACACGGAACTTTTCTCATGAATCGAAAGTAATACATCATTTACTCCTTTGATCGCTTCATAATGATCCAGTCTATTCCGGAATGTTCCCAAATCATCCATATTATTCTTAAATGTTCCACTATATTCCAGCATATTTCAGGATGTTCCGAAATATCTTAGAATTCTTTTGAAGTCTCCCGAATATTCTGAATCATTCTAGAACCTTCTAAATGACAACAAGATCAGGCCATATATCTTTGGAAGCAAGTAAAAAATATGCGGAATAGAAACATGTGGTCCCAACCTGAGATCATCCACAGGGAGAAACAACGGTTTGAGAGGAAGTTCAAAGACGCTGCATGAATGTTGTTCAACGACGCATTCAGCGTAGAGATACGCAACATATGGAAACTGTCAACTCCCGCTAAACCGGTGCAGCGGAGGGCGGGAAGAGGAGAAAAGTGAAAGCGTTCGAATTACCTTCAAATAGTCATCTTTCGGTGAAAGTAATTTGGTTTGAATTTATTTTGATCGTATTTTGATTTATTTGATTTTTGATTTTTTGCTTATTATCGTTTTCAGTCTATTTTTTTTTAATTTCTTTTTGTTCTGTAGTATTTTCATCTTTTATCTTGATCATTTCATTTGGTTCACTGAGATTCATTTCACGTTTCATTGCTTAGTATAATTGATATTTTAGCTATTCATTTTTATTTCACTTTCTGTTCCAGAGACTCCAAATTATTTTAGACAATGGAAGTCCGAACTTTCTAACTATTGCCATAATGGTACCATAGGTCGAATTTTTCGGAACATAGGTCGAAGTATTCGTCACGCTGTTCATCGCTTTCTAGCCACAACACTCGTTTTCTCATCCAAATATGTACCAATGTATATCTTTATCAACAACAGAAGTTTCATGACTCAATGCAAGTCATTTTTGAATTTGAACTTTTACTTTATTCATTTAAATGAATCTATCAAAAACATGTTCCCTACAGAAGAACAAAATACTGTATCTGAAGTCGCGTTTTGCTAACCAAGTAGCATCATCAGGAGAGGAATATAACATGTTTCTTCGAAAAGGATAAGAAGGATTGAGTCCAACTATATATTAGGACCTGATTCAGATCTGGGAACACTATCCGTAGCAGCCTCACGAAAACCAGGCCACCAAACGCGGAATGCGATTTCAAGAATTGCATTTACCGGATACCCTGCGAGTGCGGAGAATCATACATCGGTGAAACTAAGAGGTCATTGAAAGTTCGCATTGCTGAGCACAAGAAACACACATAGCGAGGAGAAACCAGTAAATCCGGAATAGCATAGCATGTTTGGACTCACAAACATAACATCAAGTGGGCTCAAGCTGAAATCATCCACAAAGAGGACCACTGGTTTAGGAGGAAATTCATAGAAGCCTCGAATATGTTGTCCAACAACGCATTTAGTCAAGCTAGCGTAGAGATACGTAGCATATGGAAACCTCTAATCAAGCGAAAAACGATCAACTCCAGTCAAACGGTTATCATCCGCTAAAACCGATAAAGCGGAGAGAGGGAAGAGGGGATAGGTGAAAGCACTGGAATGATCTATGAATAGTCAGATCTCGGTGGAATAAGTCCAGTTATCACCCGAAGACGATTGTGGATACTAACAATCGAAACGTCGTGATGTAACTCGCTTTGGAATCTTTTAGTTTCAGTTTTGAATTTTTTGTCAATAATATTTTTTAATTTTTCAGCTTGTATTGATATTACAATATTTTATTTATTTTTTTGTTGTTGCTTGCATGTTATTTCTTTGTAATTTCAGTTTTTTGTTGAATAAAATTTTTATTTTTCGGGTAATCTTTTTAATTTTTTTTACAGATTATTTTACGGTTTTCAAATCAACTCATATTATATTAGATGATGGAAGTCCGAACTGAATGAATACACCACAAAACATTGTCAACCACCTTCAAACAAACATGTTTCTTCGTTATTGTAGACTTTCAAAATGAGAATGCAATGACTTTTTTGTTTATGATTTAAGCTTGCATGTTTCTCAAATTTTCATAATAATTATAAATCTTTTTTTTTAACCAAATAACCATGGAACACCCTTGATTTCTAGAACATATTGTCTTCACTAACTACTGAGGAACGTGCGCTGGAAAATAATTCTTAAATTATTTTGTGATTATCAATATCCTTCATGTAATCCTATATGTAGATCTAGGCGGATATATGTCAGTAAAAGTTAAAACAGACATTTCAGGAAATGAAATTATATTGGCAGGATTTGGAGTAATGAATCCCAGCCAAACCGCTGGATTAATACTGGCTATTTACCACTCTGGAAGACGTACTGATACCATTAGCGGAAAGTTCACGTTGCCACTTTACTTGCCAGGAAAACCAGATATTTGGAAACATCTAATAGTGACTCTATATTTTTTGAAAGTTCATTCGTATCGAATAATGAGTTACCACTTTGATTCATGATAATAATTACAGAACTTCCACATTTTTTTCCATTTCTAGATATTTTTCACACCGTAGCTTTCACGGTAGGCGGTAGAAATACAAAAAAGAATGTGTGTTTACTTAATATTTGCAATAATTTAATTTTTCAAGAATTTCATTATTATTTGTATCTATTACTGATTTATTCGTACACTTGTTACATATTTAATGAAATTGTGAAAATTTATTTCATTTTATGACTTAAACGGCAACCAACGACCAATTCTACAAACCTAGTGAACCTTTGGTGCAGTAATGAATATTACTGGAGTTGTCTTAAAATTCCACATGTTGCCTCACCTACTAGCCGAAAAATAATTTTGAAATATTGCCTAATCTAACACGCAGGTGAATCTGATAATAAAATATCTCTTCAACAAGCTATATAGTATAATTACATTAAAGTATAGTTACTTTAAAGTCTTTACATTAAATTTCGTGTCTTCCAGACTTTTCCGAATTCTCGACTAGTTCTTCGAATTTCCTAAAATCTTTCCAAAGTTAATCGTGATTTCCAAGGAACTAGGTATGAAAGTGGTAAACATACACTACAACGCAAATGACAGTGTCGAGAATACGGAAAAATCTGGAATTTACAAAATCAAATGTAAGGACTGCGATGCAAAATATTTGGACACACTAACAGATCTATTAACGTAAGATATAGGAACACTTAGCGCACCTAAATTATGGAGAATCAGAAAAATCAGTAGTCGCCCATCATATTTTGCAACAAAACCATTCCAACAACAGGTATCTAGATGCCCGTTGTTGGATAGGATAGGACTTGGATAGGTTTGATTCAATGAACTCGAATCAATATGCGTTCCAAAAAGGCAAATCAAACTCAAATGCAATGATGACGCTTAAATAGACTTTCGGAAGAGTGAGACAAAGGTAACAAAGTGG